CCCGAGCGCAGCGGGAGCGAAGCCGGCCTGTTCTGGAGACGCTGTCCAGGCCCCGCGGGGCGAGGCCCGGCCACCCAGGTCTCCTTTACGGGGTGTCGTGATGTTGGACACACAGTTGAGATGAGCTTCCTTAGAGGAGGAGGAGGAGGAGGCGAGAAGACGGGGTTCAGGGCCAACGATGGCCTCCCCATCCAGCCCATTTCTCGTGGCGCAAACGAGGTTTCCAAGGTCAGAGAAGCGGCGTGGGGAAAAGGGAGAAGAGTTTCTGGTGGAACTGCCGACTGGCAAGATGCTTGGCAGGAACTGGTTGGTGTTCTGGCGGGCGCCACGCATTCACGAGCCAAGTCCGGTGCCAAATCCCAGGCCAGTGGGTTCCACCTACACCTTTCTCGGCAGCCCACCTCCGTCGGCGGGTGGGCGCGTGGCGCAGGCCACAGGAGCTCCAGGGGCGAGAAGGCGAGGATGCGCCCTCCAAGGTCCTCGCCGCCCCCAGAGGATGGAAGGCAGCTCCTTCCCAAGTCAGAGGCCCCTCCCCGGGGGCAGCAGCCCTGAGCGCCCTCCCTGGGCCAGTCCCGGGGGCGCACGCACGGCCTGGGGCCCGTCCTCCGGTCCATGTCGCTCCGTCTCCCGGGCTCCGCAGCGCGCCGGGAGATCCGGACCGGAGACCCGCTCTTCGAAAGCAGCGGCGATGAAAGGCCCACGTCCTCGCTCCAGTCGGGACACAGTCGCTGCAAATGAGACCGAGAAAGGATGCCGCTTTGGACCGAACCTCTCTGTTACAGCCGGCGATGCTGAAGATACCGAGGACAGGCCAGAGGGGGTCACGCCCGGCCCCCAGCTCGGATGACACAGCCGGTCCTGCGGAGAAAAGGCGGATGGACGCTCCTTGGTGGTGGGAAGAGCCGAGCCGGCGGGAGGACGCCTCCGTCGCGGAGAGAATGGCGAGCGCCAGGGCGCAGGGCCCGGAAGGAGTGCGGGCCGCGCTCTGAGATGGACGGTTTCTTGGGAGGCGTCAGACCAGGGCCAGGCGCGGGAGTCATCCATGGGCATTTGTCTTCAGCAGACACCCCGGCGCCCCACGTGGGGGACTGTGATCGGAGTTCCGTCCAATCGTCGGAGGACATGAACTCCACATCACGCCCGTCAGTGGTCGGCTCTGGGCATGACTTGAGGGTTTTCTTTTTGTCCTTTAAGCAAGAATATGATTACTCATCTATACTTTTTGTTGTTTTTTTTGATTACTCATCTATACTTTTTTGAATTTTTTGATTACTCATCTATACTTTTTTGTTGGTTTTTTTGATTACTCATCTATACTTTTTTGTTGGTTTTTTTTTTGATTACTCATCTATATTTTTTTGGTTTTTTTGATTACTCATCTATACTTTTTATTGGTTTTTTGATTACTCATCTATAATTTTTTGTTGGTTTTTTTTTTTTGATTACTCATCTATTTTTTGTTGTTGTTGTTGTTTTTTGATTACTCATCCGTATGGCCACGTGGGTGTGCGTCCTCATTTTTCTGGTCAGCATCGTTTTAATTACTCACACAGCATTCTCAGTAGGGCTCATGTCCAGTAGATACGGGTAGTCAGTCAACGAAGATCTGGTTTACAAGAACTAATTCAACGTTTCATTGCATTTTTGTAAGGACACAGAATAATTTTATACAACGTTTGTAGTCCGTAATCGCCGAAATAATTTAAGGACACTTGGGTTCTCCGTGCAAATGTATGCTCGTGATCCATTTACTTTTTTTTTTTTATAGGACACCTGTTTACTAGCTAGCTTTACGAGATGCCAAAAATGCATTTTCCCTGCCCCCAAGCCCTGCATAACCCTTTTTACATCCCCCCCACCCCCACCCCCACCCCACGCTTCAGGCCCTAGTTTATAGCAAAGGAAGGATGGCGATTTCAGTAGTTCTGTATCTTCAGTATCTTGGTCTTCCCGAACCTTCTGGTTGGGAAGGGGATCATCATTTGCTGGTCATTTATCTTTGGAGTGTAGCTACTTTAAGAGACTGAAGGAACCTCACTGGCCAAGGAACCAGCGGGGGGTGCCGCCGCCCAGCGGTGCCCGGGCGGTGCGCCCGGCACTCGGCATCTGGTG